AAACAGATAATCTTATTTCTAAACAATTAAGAAATAAACAATAATTAAAAGATTAAAATTTGGCAAAATTTAGTATTACTTTCATGTTATTTATAACTAAACAGTTTCAGAATAAATTCCCTAATACCATTGTCTTTCATTACCGTAGTTCAAAATAATGTAATAAAATTAAAGTGAATTAAGGTATACTGTATGTTTCAAACATAATAACAAGGATTCACTGGCATATGACTAATGAATTTCATAAATAAAGCTCTTAACTGATTCAGTAGTTGTCACAAATCTTTTATGTGTTTTCTTATAATTAACATAAATGTGCAATTGTTTTAACTTTTGTAAGAATGCTAAGGTTTTTCATAGTTTATATACAATTTAATAGTTTAGTATGCAAACATATGATTAAGAATAAAAAACACTCTAATTAATATTTTTATATGAACATTACTTTAAACTTTCTAGTTTTCTAGCTTTAAAAGTTTAAATCTAACGTTTATATTAATACCACACGTATTTATAATTTAAGTTTAAATAATAACCTGAAATCAATAATTTAATTTGCAAACGAGTTTATGAAAGCACTTATGAATGATAGACTTAAATAATTTACCTTTTCAAATTCTTAATCATATGATTGTACATAAACTTAAATATTTTAAAATTAAATTAAACATAATGCGAATTAATAGCAACTTATATCATAAATAACTATAAATTTAAATAGATTTCAAATTAATAACAAACAATTGCATTGTCTTTTAGGGGACAGACAAGAAGGGTACGGCCGAAATACCCTATAAGTCCTGTTAATCATAATGAATGGCTGAAAAATGTCTTGTCTGTCCCCTGTCTAAGAAAACCTTTTCAGTAAGCGTTGTGTGCTTTTAGTCTTTAAGTTTATGCCACTCAGCAATTTGTCTTCTGGGAGAAGCGATCACATCCTGCCAGTGCTTTAGGGTGGAGGCGCCTGTTTTGGGCCCCAACTCTAATTTGCCGATTACTTCGTTTTTGGTAACCCTGTCGTAATCCAGAACTTGGAATTCAATGCTAACGTTCTCCAGACCCTCGTTATAAGGGATGTCAAACACAAAGCTCTCGTTAAACACCGGAGAAGTAGTTCTCTTCTTGACGTGTGTCCTCTTTTTAACAATCTTTTGGTTGTTATGAACCAAATATATCTTGACGTATGGATCTGTCAAAAGTACGCACAAGTATTAAATAAAACTTATATCAACTTTGAACTCAATTTAAAGTCTTACCACAAAGTCCTGTTAAATCCATTTTTGGCAAATTTCGAGCTTTTAGTATAACAACTGTGAGCCGATTGGCCGCCGGTTGATAGCACAGGGAGACTAAAATCTCTCCCCTTCCCTGCATTCTCATCTGAGTATGAATTAACATTACAGTGAATTAAATATATAGTTGACATTATTTGAAATACAAATTGATTACTTTGTGACTTCTTGGAGAGATGTCTTTTGTTAAGTGAATCTGTTTTTCCAATGAATCAAACTCTAAGAGATTGAGCTGACAAAACACTTCTCCAATCACATCATCCCTGGAATAGCGATCAAAACTCAAGACAACAAAATGAAGAACTGTTGTCTGCAATTGGTTTGGATTGATCCCATAAAATGTGAAGTCCTCGTCGTAAACAGGATTATGTGTTTTACGTAAAACTCGAGTCTTCACCTAAAAGTTGATGAGAATTAGGAAATATTAGTAATTAAATAATTTTCCAAATACCCTGTATTTATGTAATTATACTGAACAGGTGTATTCATATACAGTATTCATATCTTACTTTATGTTGCTTTTCGGGCAACAATTGAAGCTTAATATAAGGGTCAGAGCTTCCGAAGTTGGGATCTTTAGGGGGCAAATCGGAGCACTTAATGATTGTGACACAAAGGGCCCGCTTCTCGTAGTTATATTTCAATTTGAAGTGAAGTTTTCCCAAAAACATTTCATTCATTGCTTTTAATTCGTTCTCTTTGTCTTCATTTTCCAACTATTTTTTAATTAAACAAAATTATGTCAAATATTTATTTTAATATGTAATAATACAATGATAAGTATTTGTATGAATATTATTTATAACCTTGTCAAATTGTGGGCAAATATTATCTCCAACCATACGAGGCTCCATAGAAAGACTCACTTCTTTTATTCCATCACTTGTAGGACTTGTTTTAGAAAAATTTCTTTCAATATGTTTTCCATTTCCTCCTGTTTTATATAATTTCAAATAACTTATATTTCAATCAAGAATTATATGATATATTGTATATCTAGTAGTATGATTTTATATACTTTAAGCATTCTTTGAATTAATATTAGTACTGTAGTGTAGTACTGTATTATTAAACTCACATACAGTATAGCAATTTGATTATAATTGTACAAAATAAGCAATAAAATTGTATTAAACAATAATATCTTATTTGATTAAGTTTAGAAGAAGTAATAGAAAGACATGTTTACAAACCTGGAGGCGATTTATTTCCTGTAGGACTCGGACTCTTTTTGAGTACAGCTCCAGAACCGGGACTTTTGACTGCAGAAGATTTCTTGAAAGAAATCGATTGGTCGACAGGGATATTGCGTTTAATGAGAAGCGTTTTGTGACCAAATTGTTCACTATTTCGGCGTTTGTATAGATAGCAAGTGGTGGCCGCTATCACCACAATGAAGAACGCGCTGCCAATACATACGGCCACTACTGTTGCCGCCGCAGACGCTATAACAGGAAAATACATTTAATTATATAAATACTCAATTTATAACAATACAATATTTATAAAGTTATATTATTCTAGTGTAAATGACAAATTCTCATTATAAGTACTGAAAATAGCAAATCAACATGGTGTGCTATAGTAATTAACTCGATGAATCATTAATGGATTCTTAGCCTATGTCTTAATAGTGAAAGAATATTAAAAGACTAATAGATTATTTAAATAAGGTTCAACAAAGTAATTATACATTACACTAAATATTTAATGAATATTAACCTATCATAAAAATCAATACCAAAATGATCTATTACAATAATAAATATATTTACATGTATAGTTTGCTTTAATGATAAGAATAGGTTTAATAGTTTATGAATATAAGAGTTGGGAACAATATGTTATAAATGATACAATTGCTGGCAATTAAAATAAAATATTGCTTACAATTTTCAATGGTATTAGTGTGTGATGGCCTCTCGGGACCATAATGTGGTGGTTTAATACGTGAATCAAATCGCTTCATATCATATCATTTAATTGTTTGAGGATTTGGTTAATTGTTTGAACAAATAAGTGATTTTCAATGAAATTCTTTCTCCTCAAAGACCACTTCACAACATGGCTTCTGATGCTATTTTCGTATATTCTTTGGTGCAGTGCATAGAATAGCACTAATACTCGCCAACACTATATCCTATACTCTATTCTACGCTCTAATCCTCTCAGGGCTTAGACTCTCATAAAGTGTTGCGTCAAAAGACAAACAGAATATTCTATACGACTATAGACTGTAGTATACATTGTAATGACAACCACTCTATACACCTATACTTACAGTGTTTTGCGTCACAAATTGTAAAGAATCGTACAAATTACGTAACATTCATACCGTTGTCATACAGAATATGCTATTCATTCATCAATGCATTCAATTTATACCATTTAATAAATATTTATTCAAATTATCACATTTAAATTAGAAAATGTTGCAAGCTAAACTTTGAAACTGATATGAGTACAGTAGTTAGGTTTAATACTATAAATTCTTGTATCCATGAAAATAATAGCCTGTTTATTTATTACAAATCAAATTTATTTGCATATTTTAAATATAGAATTGTAAATAATAAAAATAATAAATTATAAGTCAAATAACTAATGATCATAAACAGGTCATTACAAACATAAGAATTCTATAACATTGCTACAATAACTTGTACACTTTGTAGTTATACTAGACTAGTAATAAATACCTTTCCGTACTATTCGTTAGAATTATTCTTCTAACTGTATTACTGTTTAGCGCAAAAGTATCGAATATTTTGAGACCAGGTATTAATATAATAATCGGGAAAAATTACTAAATTCAGTGATTGATCATAAAGTGTTAAATAAATGTAAATGAGTTTAAATTTTTATACTAAATTTTTATTTATTGACCAATAATTTCCAAATCAATAAAATTAAAAAATATATAAAGTTATGATTATATCCGATAGGCCTGAATGACATTCTGGAGCTCCCGTTCCTTCGCTAAATAATCCTGAATAAAGGGATGGTTAATATTGGAGTCCTTGAGTTGACTGATGTAACGATTGGTCACTTCTGGAGGTTTTCCCAAATACTGCGTCAAAACAATTGAATTGATGAGAGTCTCTGCGTTATTGCTGTCCTTATCAATGGCCTCCTGAACGAGCGCTTCCGCCTCTGTATACTTGGTCTGACCTATCAGTGCGACCGCCTGTCCGTTCAGAAGTAGAGGTGAGGCGCTGTATTTGTCGGCCAACTCCTGGTATATATAGTAGGCGTCCTGGAGTTTGTCCCCTCCCTGAGCCAAATCAATGCTCGCCTGACATAACTGGCAGAGAGTGGAGTCGTCGTCCGTCTCCTGAATCCTCTTGAGCTCCTTTCGCGCCAAATCCAGTCGATCCAACTTCACGTATATCTGCAGAACCATCGCTGAACTATAAGACACATAGACTTTGGTTATACCGCTAATAAGACATACAAAAGCACACACGGAATGCCCACAAATAGCATACCATTCAATATGATCGCACGAATGCAATACACGTAAAGCGGTCTCCAAATTGTTTTCGTAGTAATAAATAGTGGCAAACATTAGGCATTGGATCCAATCGTTTGCGTCCAAAGTCTGTGTCTTTGTCTCCAACTCTTTCACTATATTTGCTCTGAAATGACAACAAATCCATTCATTAAATATCACATCAAAAGTGAATTTCTTGTAATTGTAATCACTTTTTGTTGTCATCGGCGGCCAAATAAGTGGCCAAATATTTTATGTCTTGAAGCTGTGATGGCATCGAACTGTTGATCTCATCGCAAACCACGCGATACTTCTTCTGCGCCACATATGATCTGTACATAAAGACGTCTCTTTCGAGTTTGTGTTCACTGGTCTGCGGCTGAAGACAATCACCATTGCATGAGATGTGAGACAACGACCAGATGTGGTCAAGTGGTGGACATACCTTCACTTTGAGAGCCTCATTGATGGACTGCTGATAGTTTCCCAAATAGAAGGCATTCCTCAACTCAAACAACAGGTCCGGTGCTGAAGACATGTCTGTTCGCTGTGTTTGCACTCAATTGACAACCGATTGAAAGCCGACGAACACTTGAAGTGACAACAAATCACTTACTGGTCGTCACGACAACCGTCAACAATGGCTGCCATGCATTGCGTGAGTCATGACAGCGACGACCAATGGTGTGCTCCGTGTGTTTCATGTGATGACCACTTGTGAGCCAATGGCGTGAATTGTGTGCAAATCTCCTCATCATAAGCACCGCCCACTCGTATGATATGTTTTACGCAATAATACGATGAATACAATAATAGACAACAAATAGACTTCAGTTATGTGTTGACTGTCCACCACTTCAGTCGACCCACTCTTACCACCAATTGTCTCATCCACTCATACATTGTGTCCATTCCCACCGATTACCACCGATTGTCTCCCATTTGACTCCCAATGGATCTCAACTTAGAGTCATTGCAGTCATCTCTGGAGGCGTCGCACGTATTGTCTCCAATGATGGACTCGTGTGGCATCGGATCCAACGTGTTGTCGGACTGCGTGACCACCGATGAGGACTTCGAGGACATGTTGTCGTCGATCGGGTGCACTGACCTGTGGTCGGACACTCTGGATGTGCTCCACTCGAGCGACCCATCCATGGGGTCGTCGAAAGCCAACGAAAGCCTATTGTTTGACAACTCGTTTGACATCTTGAATGACATGTCGTATACTGAGATCCAATCGACCCCTTCATCGCCCGATTCCATGCATTCGGTCACTGCTTGTGTCCAAAGTGTCGAACCGATGGTCATCGCCAATGATGTGCCGCCTCAGAGGAATGCCTTCCAGAGCCAGAAAATACAATTAGTTCGGCCGACGGTTGTCCACAAACAGACGCCACAGACAACACCCACGCCTCAGATGACGGCTCCAGCCATGGATGTGACGACCGCGACGGCAATTCCCGTCAATTTGACGGATCTGTTGTCCATTATTAAAGAACAACAGCAACAGAAACAACAGCTTCTGATGCAACAGAAAGTACAGCAGATTCTGATCCAACAGCTGAAGACGAATACCCAACAAATGAATAAACCATTGCTGACGACAAACACTACTTTCAAAGCGAGTCCATCAGTGGGTCCGTCCGTCACACCCGTGACAGTGGCCGTCAACCCAACGGCTACTCTGTTGACAACGGGTCCACTCATTCTTCAGCCCAAACAGAAGGAAGTGATGGACAAAATCCCGATCCAAAGGCTGCCGACAAACGGGTCATCCTTTACAGGCATAACGACCATCAAAAGGGAAACGCATTCACCGATGAGTACGACCTGTGACTTGAAGGCCAGCAAATCCTGTGTTATGCCAGCGGTTCCCGAGAAGAGGTCGGCGCACAACGCCATCGAACGGCGCTATCGTTCGTCGATCAACGATAAGATAACGGAACTGAAGGATATGATCGTCGGATCGGAGGCTAAACTGAACAAATCGGCAGTTCTTCGCAAAGTCATTGAATACGTCCATTACTTGCAGAACATGAACGCCAAACTCAAACAGGAAAACATTGAACTCAAGCTTAAGAACTCGTGCGGAGACCCCAACAGCCCGTCAAAGCCGAGCTCACCCGAGATGACTCCTCCCATCTCTGACTGTTCGTCGTCGGCCTCCTCTCCAGACCAAAGTGGTCTCAATTCGTCACAACCGGGTTCTCCTCTCTTCTACGCCAGCGATGGCTCGCGAATGATGTTATGTGTCGTCGTTCTGGCGGTTCTCGCCTTCAATCCATTGGGTGTTCTCATGAGTACAAGCGATTCGGTCTTCAATTACGAGTCGGGATCTGAAGTTCACGGACGAGCTATTCTTAATGACATCGGCGCTGAAGACAACTCTTGGAAATTCTGGATTAATAACAGTTTGATAACGACTTTGGTTTGGGCTTTGAATACATTTATCTGTTATTTGATTTTGAAGAAAGCTCTCAAAAACAGCAATTATACGCCCCGTGAGTGTCAAAGTCAGCAAAAGTACGGCATTTACTTGATTCAGGCCAACGCTGACTTCAAAGCCGGCAAAACAAAGTCCGCCAAAAATAACTACGAGTTGGCGCTCTTCAAGATCAAAGGCACTCATTTGCCCAACACTTTGATCTCACGAGTGGTCTCACTCTTGTGGCAACTCGTGAGGTATTGGCTGAACATGTCATACGTGGGCGTCTGGTTGGCCAACAAAGACACCGACTGTCAGCAAACGCTTTCCAAATCGATTTGCTATATTCACTGTAAACTCAATTCAATTGATTTGATTGAAAACGAAGGCAAGCCATCACTCTTGGGTTACATTCACTCCCTCTGCGCCCTCAACGAGTCATTCCTCATACCCCCCAACTCTGGCTATCTATCCATTTGTTACTTATTGGCTGCGCTTCGCTTCAAGAGTCAGTCAAACCTTTTGGCGCGACTTTTTGTCCACAAATCGGCCAAAAGTTGCAATCAATCTATCGATACGTTTCTATTAAAACCCATCGGAAAGCGATTCTTCAATAAATCTCACATCAAATGGAACTATTCGGTCGACAAGAACTCGATTTTCACGAAAACCAATTTCGTGGTCAACGACGCCCTCCTCTTCCTATCGGTTCGCTTCCGGAGATATCTAATAAAGAAATGTATTCTTACTTTAATGAATCCACGCAACGGTTCCAACAAAGACCACTACCACTCGAACTCCTCGAAAGCCACCACCGAATCGATTACTATCAATGATGTCATCCAAGAACTCATCGCTAACTCGAAACAATACGGCGACGAAGTGTCGTATTTTTGGAGTCAAGTCATAAAACTGGCGTTCAGTTGGCTCACCAGCGATGAGCAGTCTGTCAAACAAACTCATCTCGAAGTACCGGAACAGTTGAAAAACAATTCTCTCGTCATTTCATTGCTTCTAATCTCAAGACTTCGGAAATATATAACAAACAAAAGACCGAAGGATTCGAAAGTGATTCGCAATTTGATGGACCGCTCGAGCTATGAGTTGTGGCGCTCTATAGAGACGGACCAAAACGCTAGACTCGGAAGAATACACGACGAGTGTCACCAACAGGTGTTCGAAGCGTTCGAACTCTTGTGTTGTGATTGGATTCTGTGGACAAGAGTGAAGTTATGGGAACTGAACAACACGTGCAACCAAAGCGAAAACACCAATTGGCGACACATTGCGGGCTTCAGAAAGGATTTGTCGACTTTGAGGTATTTGGTTGAGTCGATCCCCAGCGCCAAACCCAAGCTATACTTCTATGAGGGCTGTTATCGACTCATCTGTGGCTCCAATCCATTGGAAAGTCAGGAGTTCTTCGAACGAACTCTAAGGAAGAGACGTCTCAATGTGACATCAAATGTCATTTGCAACACAAATGATGAGAACCACATCCCATCCCTCAGCGATCAGCACGACTTCGCCGGAGCTCTCCTTCTCAGCGCTAAATATCTTCCACCGCATTGTTTTTCATGTCCGGCCGAAAGGGAGGGCTATCTCAGAGAAGCCAACAGTATATGCGATCGTTTCCGGCGACCCGATGATGTGATTATGCAGTGAAGCCCTCGACTCGCGTGTAAATAACAGTTTGTGTAGACTTTGTTTCACTCATTCATACGTTTGTAGTTTCAGTTTATGACAACATTTTCTATTATTATTAAGTTATTGTCATTAAAGGCATTAAAATGAAAACAATTTAATTAAACACACATACAATATATAACTTGTAATAATACTTATTTAAAAACATAAGATTATAATTATGACTATTAAATTTATATTTATATAATTTGTAAATTAGTTAATCGATTGTATTTCCACTTCTCTCTCTAAGCATTTGATTTGCAATTAATTGATATTAAAATCCTAATTATTTATCAATAAATAGATTAAACCTAAATTTATGCGAGTTTTGAGATAACTTGTTGAGTGAACTGAGAACACGTGGCCTTTCCGCCCAAATCGGCGGTCAGACATGTCTTCTCTTTGATCACTTGAAAGCAGGCCTTCTCTATGCTGTCGGCGTATGAGTTGAGATTCATATACCTTAACATCATTATAGCTGATAATAAGAGCGCTGTTGGGTTAGCCTTGTCCTGACCGGCGATGTCAGGTGCCGTCCCGTGAACCTAACAATTAGATCATATTATTAATACAGAGTTCTCTTAATTCACGACTCAATTGAATACCG